CTCTTATTTTTATATACTTTTGGTTTTAATAATAATTACAAATGTGCTGTATTTTTTAATTACATTCTTAGTGGTAAGCATTAAAATAAACAAATACTTAACAAACACTTAGTCATAATTGGCAGCTACTTAAATGATGACCTATGAAGGTTGAATTTATAATAAGTGAAAAATTCAACGTGGCCCTACTATAGTTCCATTAGAACTAGCACAACACTACCATTGACTCATAATCATTAACCTACACACCATCAATAAAATACATTTATTCTCTTCTTGACTTTTGTATCAAATAAAATTAAAATTTATTTATAATAGGACGATGGCAGCACTCCATTACACTGTGCTTGTAAAAGTGGCAATTCTAAAGTTATTGAATTATTGATAACAAAAGGAAATGCTGATGTGAATGCTGTGGATGAGGTAAAATGAAAATTATACCTAATTATATCATTTTTGTTTCGTAATTATAGCATGGCAGAGCCCCATTGTTTAAAGCTGTTAAAAGTGGTAGTGTTGAAGCTGTTGATATTCTATTGACTAATGGAGCTAGAACTGATGTTATGGTAAATTTTACTCAAAATTTAATTTTACTACATGTAGGTAAGTGCATGAAATCAGGTCATTAAGCAACCTGGTATGCTCTTAATGTTTTAGGGATATACCAGTACTTAATATGCGTGAAATATTGGAGGATATTGCATATGGTTTGTGTATTGCATATGGTTTGTGTATTGCCTATGACATACCGTAAATCTCGCATTATTTCAAGTGATGGTAATTTTTGTATAGCAACAAAGCATACTAAATTTAGAATTGCTAATATTTCCTTTTTCCCTAATAATATATTGGACTAAATCAGTAGGCAGCATATGAAATTTTTTAACACCTAAATTTTTCATTCTGTATTTTATAACCATTGCAAATAATGAGATTTACTATAGAGCAATCACTAGTGCAATATTCACCATTAGCTATCACTCTCCAGACCCGTATTATAATTCAAGGGAGGTAAGACTACACAGGATTGACAAAACTACTTCAGCCAATTTGCTTATTATTAGCTGCCATATTCTTGGGTACACTTGTAACCAGGGATACATAACTTCAGTTCAATATACATGTTTGATTATAAAAAGTTTAAATACTGCATCATGATACATTCACTATAAGTATTATAACTCTATTGCAATTAATTTTTATTTATAATAGGGTCATGGCAGCACTCCATTACACTGTGCTAGTGAAATTGGTAATGCTAAACTTATCAAATTATTAGTAAGTAAAGGAAAGGCTGATGTGAATGCTGTGGATAAGGTAAAGTTATTAAATAATCATTTCTAATTGTATCTTTTTTATAGTCGTTGAAGAGAACTCCATTGTTTAATGCTGTTAAGAGTGGTAGTATTGAAGCTGTTGATATTCTATTAAGTAATGGAGCTAGGACTGATGTTGTGGATGAAGTAAAATAAATTCTACTTAATTTTTAATTTTAAAAATATGCTAGATACAGTGTAAGTGCATGATACTTGTGGGTAGCTATATATTTTGTCAGAAAAATGTTAGTTCTAGCATAGGATAACAGACTTTGTTCCATTTATTTTTTTTGAGCAGTTATTTTGTATAGCTATATGTATGGCATTCAATTTGAGGAAGTGCCTTTTGTCATTTGGAAAATGTTTGTTCCCCAAAACTTGAAAGCAAATTAAACAAAACTAAACTCCAACAGAATATACCAGCTTAAATGGTATGATTAACAACCCTGTGTTGCAGGGATACTTATAATGAGTGCATATCGGGAGGATGTTGCACATGGCTTTAGTACTATGTAGTGCCATTAATCACTAGTGCAATATCCAGTATCTATCACTGTCTAAACCCATATTACAAATGAAAGGGAGGTAAGACTACAGATTGATAAATATGAAGAATTGCAGTTAATTATCAGCTGCCATATTCATGGGGTACACTTGTAACTTTGCATACATCAAGTAACTAGAGTTGTTTAATTATGAAAAAATCAAAATACTGCATCATGTATTCATAGAATGGTGAAACTCTACTACATTGTGCTAGTGAATCTGGTAAAGTTGAAATGCTTGAGTTTTGGATTAAAAGAGAAGATTTTGATGTGAATGCTTTAGATGAAGTAATTTTTTTTAAATTATCAGTTACTTTTGTTGTATTATTATAGAGGAATAGAACTCCATTGTTTAATGCTGTTGAGAAGCATTACAAGCGTAGTATTAGTATTGAAGCTGTTGATATTCTATTAACTAATGGAGCTAGAACTGATGTTGTGGATAAAGTAAGTTTTATGACTACATAGAGAAGTGCTAATAATAGTTGGCATTTTAGTGGGTGATCAAAATTAAAATGTGTTTATGTGCATCATGTGTGATTAAGCAGCATAATGATTACATATTGCTTAACTCTTGTATCATACAGAAGTGATTGACTCATGTCAGTTCATTAACCTATACACATCCAATCTATTTAGCTTGATTACAATTAAATCATTTGTTATAATAGTATGATGATAGCACTCCATTACATTGTGCTAGTGAAACTGGTAACAGTAAAATTATCAATCTATTGATAACTAAAGGAAAAGCTGATGTGAATGCTGTAGATGAGGTAAGAGTTATTTCTAATTGTAGCATTTGTGTTTTGTATTTAGTACAACAAAACTCCATTGTTTAATGCTGTTGAGAGTGGTAGCATTGAAGCTGTTGATATTCTATTAACTAATGGAGCTAGAACTGATGTTTTGTCTCAAGTAATATTCTATTTAATTTTATTATAAGCATGATTATTGATAGTATCTAATGACTAGTCATTGATGTGTAGTCATAATAAAAATAAGCAGACTGGCTTTGTGTTGTGTTTTGAATATTTCTACAATATTTAGGATGGTGAAACTCTACTGCATTATGCTGGTAAATCTGGTCAAGTTGAAATGCTTGAGTTTTGGATTAGGAGAGAGGATCATGATGTGAATGCTTTTGATAAAGTAAATTTATTCTAAGTTATTAGCTACTGGATTACTCCAATAAGACCCATAGCTTATCACTATAATGGCAAACCTATATTGTGGGTACTGGGTAGGCAGGTTTTCAATAAATTTATTTATTATTGCCTGCATAATCTGCATGTATAATTAATGTAAAACTGCATTAATGAATAATGATACAGCACCATGCAGGCAGGTAATAAGAAAGCATGAAAGGAGTTACCTTATCTTATACAATATAGAACAACAGAACTCCATTGTTTGATGCTGTTGAGAGTGATAGTGTTGAAGCTGTTGATATTCTATTATTTCATGGAGCTAGAACTAATGTTGCAGAAAAAGTAAATTTAATTGATTTGTAATTTAACTGATTATTGTATTTTTGAATAAGCTTGTGTTTATTAACCCTGTATGTTCTTTATGTGTACATGAGCAGTATAAAGATATCATGATCCATCTTGCATACAATTCAATGATTCATCATTTTTTAAATTGACTTTTTTAATATCATATACCCTTTGACCAATAATTAAACTT